TTAATTCCAGAACCCTGAGCAAGACCTGTGACCCTTCTGTGCCCCGCTTTCCCCATCTTCACTATGATGGGGAGGGTTGTTCAGTAAAGATATACTAGAATTTCTTTGATCTGTTCTGAAAAAGCCACACATCATTCTTAAAGTATGTATTATCCAATACTATATACATCAAAAAATTTTTGAAGTAAAGATGTGAACAGTTGTGTGTCCTGTAGACATTGAAAGACGACAAGCCATTGGAAGACTTATTTTAAACTCTGGTATCTGCTATGGCCAGGGAGTGAGCTGCTGTGTTGATAATTTAGCCTGAGTGTATTCTGATCATAAATAGATTATTAATTCTTAAATAATTGATACTGCTTTTCCCCCTTCTGTCCTCCTTCATTTTTTCCTTCGGTTTGTCAAAAGCCATTAAGCAGGTCTGAGCAAGGAGACTTATCAGGGTGAATAAGTAACTAGATTGAAGGTAATGGGAGTCAGACTTCTTACTGTGAACGAACAGTTACAGATATAAAAATGGGGAGAGCTAGATTGAACCCTGTATCGTGGATAGAAATTTAAGGTTTCATTGCGAATGTGTGGATTTCAATATGTAGAAATTTTACAGATATAGAAATTTCAGTATAGAAATAATATAAACATTAAAGTATATGCATGTCTATGAATAAATGGATACACACACACACACACACACACACACACGCACACGCACACACACACCCCCCATATCCATTTCCTAACTCTGCTTACTGAAAGGGCCAGGATGCAGTGAAAGCCCAATAAACATGAGCACATTTGCTACCCAGATTATAGTTTGTAAATTCCAGTTTTTGCTTCAAGCAACTATGGGTCTTTGAAAAAAATGTGTGGTTCTAGAGCTGGGACAGAAAAGGTACAAGATGAGCCCTGAATGTCTTGTGACAGAAGATTCAGAAACTCTTAATAATGGGAGATACCACAGGGACACAGCAGTCAGCTTGAAGGGATTCTCTCTAAACCCATGTGAAACCTGAAACAATTCAAGCACCAAAATAATAATGATAATTATGGATTATATCATACTAAACAAGAAATGCATGAATCCACATTGGTATAAAGAAATAAATGCATGAAAGTGTGGGGAGAGGAGAAAGTTCTGCCTTAAAATAGAATGCTGTCCGATACATAGAAGGAATTCTGGAATTGGAGAGATTCCCATTTGGCAGTCATCGCCATAATCATTAATTTAGGTAAGAAGCATCAGCGGATGCTAACACTACTGAATGAAAGTTGGATGAGGATCAGAATCTTTATATAACCATCAGGTATCTGTCCACAAATCCTTACGCATTTTAAGGGGAAACACAGGAGTTTTACTGGAGACACGTGGAAGACACAGTCTTAGGTGATCAAAGGTCTCATCAGCAGTGATGGACACACAGCATTCTGTGTCACTTGATGGGATGCAATGAGAAGAACACAGCATCACTTCCAAACAATGCCATCTTCAGATCTTTTCGTGAGAAAATCTCTTTAATCCCAGTTCAGGGGCATTTTACAAAATAATTAACCTGCTGCCTTCCATAATAGAAAGTTGGTGAAGGTGAAGGATACTGTTCCAGATCAAAAGAGACTGAAGAGAGATGACAAGTAGATAGAAAGTGTGATCCTGAAATGGATCCTTTGACTGGAAAGAGCATTACTGGAAAAGTTGGCCTACCTCGAATTGGAGTCTCTGGGTGAAGGGTACATGAGAGTTCTTTTTTTTTTTTTTTTTTTTTTTTTTCCTGTGGCTTTGTTGTGCATGAGAGTTCTTTGAACAGCTTGTACAACATTCCTGGAAGCTTGAAATTAATTTGAAATAAAAAGACATAATTTATACAGGAAAGCTTAGTTTTTAGTTTTTACTTCATTTTACAAAGTTGAAAGGAATAGTTTCTGACTTCTTTTTTATTCTGGACTTTGTAAGATTCTTACAGGGTGTAATAATTAGACTTTTAGTTCTGTTTGTGATTATTGTGCAGAGAAGAATATAGTTTTATGAGACAGGGACTTTTCTGGACATGTGTTATTTGCGTAATTACAGAAATTTTGATTTGACTGGGAAAATAGTTGGGATTTTGGAGTGTCGTAAGGCCATTGTTAAGATATTTATGAGGCATTTTAGAATAACGGGATTATGAGTTGGTGTTCTGGAGTCGTGCTGCCTGAGCACAAATCCTGCCTCCACCACTTACTAGTGTGTGACTGAGCAAGTGAACTAACCTCTCTGTTTCTCATGTCATCTATAAAATGTAGGTAACAGTGGTACCTATCTCAAGTGGCTATCGTACAGACCATCTGGTTAGTACCAGTAGAGGCCAGGCGCGGTGGCTCACGCCTATCATCCCAGCACTTTTGAAGGCCAAGGTGGGCGGATCACGAGGTCAGGAGATCAAGGCCATCCTGGCCAACACGGTGAAACCCCATCTCTACTAAAAATACAAAAAATTAGCTGAGCGTGGTGGCGTGCGCCTGTAGTCCCAGCTCGTTGGGAGGCTGAGGCAGGGGAATTGCTTGAACCCTGGAGGCAGAGGTTGCAGTGAGCTGAGATGGCGCCACTGCACTCCAACCTGGTGACAGAGCAAGATTCTGTCACAACAACAACAATAACTACCGGTAGAGTGCTGAGAAGAGAACTGGCTTAGAGTAAATGCTACGTCGTTGTTGTCACCCTCATTATATGTTATCATTGCTGCTGCGGCTGCTGTTACTGTGTAGGTATAATCTGTGTAGCACAGAGAGGGGACATCACACACCAGGGCCTGTCAGGGGGTGGGGGAAAGGGGAGGGAGAGCATTAGGACAAATACCTAACGCATGCAGGGCTTAAAAGCTAGATGACAGGCCGAGCACAGTGGCTCATACCTATAATCCCAGTACTTTGGGCAGTCGCGGTGGGGTGGATCATGAGGTCAGGTGTTCGAGACCAGCCTGGCCAACATAGTGAAACCCTATCTCTACTAAAAATACAAAAAATTAGCCAGTCATGGTGGCAGGCACCTGTAATCCCAGCTACTTGGGAGGCTGAGGCAGGAGAGTTTTTGAACCTGGGAGGCGGAGCTTGCAGTGAGCTGAGATCACACCACTGCATGGCAGCCCGGGCGACGGTGCAAGACTCTGTCTCAAGAAAAAACACACAAAAAACACCCAGATGATGGGTTGATAGGTGCGGCAAACCACCATGACGCATGTATACCTATGTAACAAACCTGCACGTTCAACGCTGGAACTTTAAGTCAAATTAAAAATAAATAACTAATAAAGGACATTTCCAAAGCAAAAAAAAAAAAAAACATTGTGTAGGAAAGGTTAGGGAAACTTTAGGTTAGGCTAAGAGAAATTTCATACGGCAATTTGTTGGCAATTTGATTCCTCCTCACACTCTGATGATAGAAAGGCAGTGATGCCATTGCTTTTGGATACTAACACCGTATACTGATCCTTCAGGATGCTTTCTTATTTGCAAAGCCAGCTTCCACGCCCACGCACACCTTAGAGTTTCTTTACTCTTTATATGGGGAAAGGCACACATTTTAAATGTTCAAGGAGAGCAGAAACAACAGGATCAAAGCAAAATACAAAGCAAAGAAGATTGGAGAATGAGAGAGTCAAGATCCAAGGAAAAATGTTTACTTTGGCAGAAATACCTAGAAAATATACTGACTGCAGGCCTTGTTTCAAGTTCACATATTGAATCTCAACATGTTTACTTATTTGCAAGTGTAAGTAAATGTAGGCAGCACACTGGGTTAGCAAACACGGAATATCCCTGACGGAGGGAGCGGCTCTGCTCATCAGTGCTGTCCACCATGCACCCAGCACCCTACCACTCTCTCCCGGCTCTCCAGCCTGTTCCTTTTCCTGAAAGGGCTCCGGTCAAGCTCATGATAGTTGATCATATATGATACTTGGAGAATATTGAGCATTGTGTGTTTTTATTTCTTCATTCTTTGCTTCGTTTCTAAAAAGGTTCAAAGGAACCTAATAGTTATCTAATAAATAGATAATAAATCTAATAAATAGTTGTCTGTTATCCTAATAAATGCTGAATTGTCTAGACTAGACCTGCATTAATAAAGTGTAAAGTGAAAGAAGAGACCAATTGGCAGAAAGAGAAGAGAGAGGTTGAGTTGAAAGCCTAGAAGAATGGGTAATGAATGACTATTCAGAAAGAAGGAAACGGATTGGTGGTGGAGGAGGTCAAGGGTTTCACAGTGAATCCTTTCTTTTTTAGGTCTAGAGGCACATTTGTGGTCATCCAGCCTAAAAGCATAAGTTTTTAGGCAGAGGAGAGTTTCCGATACATGGTTAACACATAGCCTATTGCTTGGTCCTCTGTCTGAAATACCCAGTTTGTCTCCCCTTGATTCAGTCTCTTGTTACTATCTCACCCTGACTGTAGTATTTTGAATTTTAAATGGCATTTATATATTTTGGGAAGCACTAACAATCAAATGGGAATAAACCGTCTAGGATTCCTCAGACCATCTAACTTTTAAAACTCTTTCCTAGAGCATATGGACATGTGTCAAGACAGTGTGTTAAGGTTGTTCTGTGATTAAGAACTCAGAACCTAGAGCCAGAATCCCTGGGTACAAATCGTGACACTGTCATTGACTAGCTATGTTCTATTTTCTTCATCTGCAAAATGACATCAGTGATAAGAAACCAATGTGGGACGGGCTTGGTGTCTCATACCTGTAATCCTAGCACTTTGGGAGGCTGAGTTGGGCGGATCACATGAGGTCAGGAGTTTGAGACCAGCCTGACCAACATGGCAAAACCCTGTCTCTACTAAAAACACAAAAATTAGCTGGGTATGGTGGCGGGCACCTGTAGTCCCAGCTACTCGAGAGGCTGAGACAGGAGAATCACTTGAACCCAGGAGGAAGAGTTTTCAGCGAGTTGAGATCATGCCATTATACTCTAGCCTAGGCGACAGAGTGAGACGCTGACTCAAAAAAAAAAAAAAAAAAAAAAAAAAATATGGTTACATGTGAAAAAATACCAGCAATACAGGAATCTTTCAAAAAATGTTAACTGGTATGTATTTGTCTAATGATTAGAAATAAAAATCTTTAGTACTATTTGGAGACTTGGTATGTTTATGTGATTTAGTAATAACTACACAACACCTTTCCTTCACACAAAGTTCTAATAAATCATTGCCTTTTCTGTAGGTTAAAATCTGCTGGTAGTCACTCCATTATTCTTATCCATGGAGAGCAAGATCTTGATTTGAAAGTTTCTGAGAAAATCTTCAGCTCAGACTTGAGGTCAACTTTACCAACTGAAGGTAAAAGCTAATTTTATTCATTTAAGTATGAATTGCTTATTACCAAAGCATAGAAAATAAAGATCATTAACATGTCTTAATATGTAGAACATATCAAATAGAATTCTGGCTTCTTGATGTAGAAAAAAATTATGAAATGCTTTCTATTAGAAACAGAGAAAAATGAGATATAATGAATGAGGAGAAAGCTTGTTTTCCCTTACGGTTATGAAAAGTGTCATAATAAGCATCTTCACATCCATTTATTTTTTTCAGATTTTGTAGTCAGGATCTCGCTCTGTTAAATGGGCTGCAGTGCAGTGGCACTATCCTAGCTCACCACAGCGTTAAACTCCTAGACTCAAGTGACCCCCTCGCCTCAGCCTCCCAAGTAGCTGGGATTGCAGGCACATGCCACCACATCTGGCTGATTTTTTTGAGACAGAGTCTTGCTCTGTCACCAGGTTGGAGTGCAGTGGTGCGGTCTCAGCTCACTGCAACCTCCACCTCCCAGGTTCAAGTGATTCTCCTGCCTCAGCCTCCTGAGTAGCTGGGATTACAGGTGCATGCCACCACGCCTGGCTGATTTTTGTATTTTCAATACAGATGAAGTTTCACTATGTTGGTCAGGCTGGTCTCGAACTCCTGACCGTGTGATCTGCCCGCCTCGGCCTCCCAAAGTGCTGAGATGACGGGCGTGAGCCACCATGCCTGGCCTTTTTTTCCATTTTTTAAAACAGAACGGGCCTTTCAGTATGTTACCCAGGCTGTTCTGAAACTCGTGGGCTCAAGCGATCCTCCCGCCTCATCTCCCAAATTGCTGGGATTACAGGTGTGACCCACCGCACCTGGTCTCATACCCATTTTTGATATCTACAGTAGCCAGGTGTTGAAATAATCTTAAAATCTGAGGAAACAAATAAACTAAGAAACAGCCTGCTGCAGGCGTAGAGCAGTTGGTGAGCTGAACAGGAAACTCTTGAGAAAGGTGCACGTTTCTGTGAAAGCCAGCAGGCACTAAGGCTGCTGCCTGGAGCCAGGAGACTGGACCGTGGAGAAAACCTCTCTTGAGATGCCCCTGTTCCTAAGTGAATTATTTTGTAGTGTTAAACATGGATGTTGTTGTTTTTAAATGGTGGGAAACTTCCAATAACTGGCCTATTTTCTCATCAGTCTGTGTCTCCTGTTCTTCACGTCCTCCATTCACCTCGAACTTTCTATGCCTCCAACGTGCCAGTTACTGCCAGTCAGAAAACAAGCTTAAGATATCAACTCCCTCGAAGTTTGCCTGCAGGCCCGCATAGTCAGCCTGCACCCGCATCCTGTGCTTTGTCACCGGTGGAAGGCAGAGCACGTCGCAACCCCACTTGGTTCCTTCTTCTCCTGCTTCGGAGCTGCCTCCTTCTTCCTGCTCTGAAACTGCTGAAACCCACCTCCTTCATCCTGCTTCGGAACCACCTCCTTCTTCCTGTTCTGCAGCCTGCCACCTCCTTCCTGCTTGGAAACTGCCATAACCCACCTCCACGTTCCTGCTCTGGAAACACCTCCCCTTTCTTGGTCTGGAACCTCCCTTTTCCTTCATCTTCCACTGGGATTTGCTCTGGAACCTTCCTGCTCTGGAACCCAGCTCCTCCTCTCTGCTCTGGAACCTGCCTTCTCCTCCTTCCTGCTCTGGAACCAGCTCCCCCTTCCTGTTCTGGAACCAGCCTCCCGCTTCCTGCTCTGGAACCTGCCTTCTCCTCCATCTTGCACTGGGATCTGCCTCCTCCTTCCTTGTCTGGAACTGGCCACGCCCTTCCTGCTCTGGAACCTGCCTCCTTCTTCTGGGGTCTCCCACCTCCTTCCTGCTCTGGGACCCGCCTCCTCCTTCCTGCTCTGGATCTTCCCCCTCCTACCTGCTGTGGAGCCTGTGTCTTCCTTGTGCTGCAGCCCACCTCAGTTTCTCCTTTCTCCTTATCAGCTATCATTTTTGTCACTTTCCCCTTCTTTTTCTTCCTTTTGATTCCTTTGTTCAATATTTTCACATACTATTATTTTTTCTCTTTTTTAATCAAGAGATTATTCATATGCCACACAATGTACCATTTTAACATGTAAAATTCAGTCATTTTTTAGTATATTCACAAAATTGCATGACTATTCTTAATCTAAAATTCCATGATCTAATTTCATCTAATTTCAGAATGTTTTCATCACATCAGCGAGAAGCCCCATACCATTCGTAGGGTGTTCCCCATTTCCTCCTCAGCCCCTGGACACCACTAATCTGCTTTCTGTATCTAAGGATTTGCCTTTTTTGGACATTTTATGTAAATGGAATATAATATAATTTGTAATATTTTGTATCTGGCTTTTCCCACTTAGCATAAGTTTTCAAGGTTTGTCCATGTTTATACATGTGGTAGCATGAATTACTATTTTTGTCTTTTTTATGACCGAATAACAGTCCATTTTGGAACGGAGCACATTTTGTTTATTGATTCATCAGCTGAGAGACATTTGAATTGTTTCTCCTTTTTGGCTGTTGAGAGTAATGTTGCTATGAACATTCATGTAGAGGCTTTTGTGTGGACGTATGTTTTCAGTCCTCTTTGTTATATATTAAGGAGTGTCATTTCTGGGCCATAGGGTAATTCAGTGCTAACATTTTGAGGAACTGGTGAACTGTCCTCCCAACTGGCTGTACCCTTTTACATTCTCCCCAGCAGTGTATGAGGTTTCCCATTTCTCTGTATCCTTCCCATTACTGGTTATCGTCAGTCTTTTTAAATATCGCCATCCTAGTGGACGTAAAGTGGTTACTTATTTCTAGTCTCTTTTGGATGTCACTTCCTTTGAGAAATTCTTCTGAACTCCCTAAAATCCTTTCTCTTCAGATTGTGTTAAATGTCCCTGTATTAGTCCATTTTCACACTGTCAATAAGGACATACCTGAGACTGGGTAATTTGTAAAGAAAAAGAGGTTTAATGGACTCACAGTTCCATGTGGCTGGGGAGGCCTCCCAATCATGGTGGAAGGCAAAAGGCACTTCTTACATGGCGGCGGCAAGAGAGAACGAGAGAGCCAAACAAAAGGGGTTTCCCTGTGTAAAAACCATCGGATCTTGTGAGACATATTCACTATCATGAGAACAGTATGGTGGAAACAGCCCCCATAATTCAGTTTTCTCCCACCGGATCTCTCTCAATGAAACACGTGGGAATTATGGGAGGTACAATTCAAGATGAGATTTGGGTGGGGACACAGCCAAAGCATATCAGTCTCTCCTGTATATTTCTCAGGCACCCTGTCCTTGTCCTGGAACATCCTGCATCACACTGAATCATCATTGTCTGTTAAATTTATCTCCTCCATTAGCGTGTGAACCTGTTAGATAGGCTACCACAATATTCCTGTGATATTTCCTAACGTGATGCTTGTCACAGACAGTTATTTAGTCTTCTCCTTTTGTCAGGGGTGGGATGACAGGCGACTTGCAGACTAGACTTCGTAGGATTATTACCTAAGTTCCTAAATACAAGAATGAAAATATTCATTGGTATTATTTGTTAGTTGATATCTAGTTAGAAATAGAAGACAGGATTTTTTAGCCTATGTGTTTGACTTTTTATAAAGTTATTTATTCTTCACAGCTATGGTGCTGTCCCTTAATTCACCAAGAAGGTGGAAGGAAAGAAATTAGGGCTGCTATAAAATATCACCATAAGGGGAAAATGCTGAGGTGATTTTAAATGTATAAATCAATTAGTCATTTTTACTTTGATCTTTTAAAAGCATGACTGATTAGGAACCGACTATTTCTTTTAAAAAAAGAAATACCAGCTGGGTGTAGTGGCTCATGCCTGTTATCCCAGCACTTTGGGAGACCAAGGCAGGTAGATCACAAGGTCATGAGTTCGAGACCAGCCTGGCCAATATGGTGAAACCCCATCTCTACTAAAAATACAAAAATTATCCAGGCGTGGTGGCAGGTGCCTATAATCCCAGCTGTTTAGAAGACTGAGGCAGGAGAATTGCTTGAACCTAGGAGGCAGAGGTTGCAGTGAGTTGAGATCATGCCATTGCACTCCAACCTGGGTGACAGAGTGAGACTCCATCTCAAAAAAAAAAAAAAAAAAAAAAGAAAAAAAAAAAAAAGACCAATTAGATAGATTAGACTTTAAAGATTTCATGTGCAGATAGAAGTCAAGAACAGTATCATAGTTTATGGATCTTCAAAAATGATGCCCCATTCTGATGGTGTTATACTGTAAGTATCCGAAATCTGAGATTCATTTGCATCAGGGTTGAACAGATAGGGATCAGTGCTGGGGAACAAAAGCTAGAAGTGGGATTAAACATAATTAAAGACTTTAAATATAAGTTTGAATTAAAAAGCGCATCCGGCTTGAAGGCTGACTCATACTAAATTATAGTGCCCTGTGCGTAAGTACAGATTCAAAGGCATATTTAATTAGTTCTTTTGAGACTTTCTCCCCACAAATCTATTGATTTTTACAATCAATATTTAGATACTGTTGTTTCTCTTTTTCCCAATTCCAGAAAGATTTGTTTTAGCATTTTAGATTTTTCTTAATTGAAGTTAACATTTGGACTAGATCGCCATTCCCTTATTTGACAGTGTTTTCAGTGTATTCTTGGAAATTCTATCCAGCTTCTTTGCTATGGTTTTTATATGCTTCTGGAACGACGCGGAAATTGGGGAGGGAAAGAAAGAGAGAAACAAATGTAAGTTGGACCCAGATCAGTGAGATAGTATCAAATGAGGCCAAAATGGATTTGGCAGATGCTCTCCTCATGGTTCCTACTTGCACATGCACATATTGTTACTTGGAATACCACTTGCATTTCTTTCATTCTTGTAAGATTTTTCTTCAGCTTCAGTAACAAACTTTAACTTTAAATAGGAGCCAGGAATGAATATTGAGAATTTTTTTAAAAATGTGTAAATGTACTTAGAACAGATATTTTGCCATGAAGGTTTGGTTGGTAAAGGATATAATAGATGCCTTTTAAGAGT